TAAAGAAGAAAAATCCTGTCGTTTTAAGCAAGATGGAGGACATTAGGTTAACTGAGATAAGCCAGACCCAGAAAGACAAATAGTGCATGTTCTCCCTCACACAGGGAAGCCAAGTATGACTGGCCTGAATGTAGGACAGTGGTCACGAGGGGTGGGACCGTGTGGGATAAATGAAGGGAGGTAGAATTTGACCAATACACGGGATTGATCTACACGTGTTGAATGTCACACTGAGGTCCCCTGTTATGTACCGAGAATACATGCTCATGGGAATAAAAATTGTACCAACTGCCATCTCTTAGTTTTTCATATGGCTCTGTAATTTTCAGCATTACAACGTACATTCTCTTATTTGATTTTTTAAAATGCAAATATATTCATGGAACTGAAAATGAAGTATTTGTAAAACATGAGTATGTTTAAAATATTTGCATACACACACAGACATTTTAAAGTCTTTAAAGGACATAAACTCTTTAAAGTTCGTTTCTCAGATTCACTTTTTTATGCAAGAATGTGTTGCCTTATTGAAAGAAAAAAGAAAGGGTTTCCTTTTTTAACTCTTTTACTTTTTTTTTGCGTCCTCCTCTGGGCGCGGGTAAGAGGCCTGTCCCCGCGGCGCTGTGGACTTGCTCCCAGAGCTGGAGCTGGTCCAGCTGTTGATCCTCATCCTGCGCTGGGCCCGTGTCAGCTGCGGGCTCTGTGCTTCACCAGCCCTCTCCAGGGCCAGGCGCGCCACACAGAGCCCACGAGTGTCCCCCTCACAGCGGAGTGGGAAAGTCCAGGTCCACGACCGCGTCTTCAACTCAGGGCCGCTGCAGGCTGAGTCGCAGGAGTCCACCTGGCACCCACCTGCCACCCGGGTCTCAGGAGCGAGAGGGCGAAACGAGGTGGGGCACTGTGGGGTGCGGGAGTGCCTGTGGGCAGAGCGCAGGGTGCAGTTCACGCCGCGGAGGAAGGTGAGGGTGTCCCCTGGACCAGAGCCTTGGCGCTTGGACGGCCTTTGGAACCCAGCAGGGAGCCCCAGGATGTGCGGTGCTGGGCCCTGGAGCT